GAAAGGGATTGGTGGGGGAGGAGGCTGAGGTCATGGCGGAGGAGGAAAGAGTGGGCGGAGGAGATGGCGGAGATGAGCTGAGGAATGAGTTTGGTGCAGTGTTGGTGGCGGAGTTGAAGGGTGGCTTTGAATTTCTTGGTTAGTTTGTTCATCTTTTTGGTCATCATTATATTCTTCTTCTTCTTTTTCCTTCCTCTCTTTTTACCGGCGGTGGCCATGGAAATGGAGTGGTGATTTTCAACTTTCAATATTTTCAAAGCAATTTGCTTTCCTGTTCTTGGGGCTTTGCAGTATGTACTACCATTTCTGGCTTTGTATTTTATTTCTTTTTCCTTAGATCTAATACAAGCTAATACATCCTTCTTGCTGGAAATATTTTTTAGTTTTCTTTTTTTGGGTAAAAATGAAAGCTAATCAATAAACTATTTTGGTGTGAATTTACATAGGAAAAAGCTAATCGTATTTTTGCTATTGACCATTAACAGTTTGAGAATAATTTTATATTTTGGTCAAAAGTCGAGAGATAAAATATAAATATTTTTCTAAAAAAAAGTTGGACAATAAAATTTACTAATTCTACTATGGAGCTCCGTTAAGAATAATAATAAATATAATATAATCTGCTAATAACAAGAATATTAAATGGATCAAAAATCTAATCGGAAGCAAAATGAAGCAATTTCAAATTGTTACATGGCCAAATTCGAACACTTTCCCTTTAAATATTTGGTTGTTCAACTCTGACGATTTTTTTTTGGGGGGATGTTAGAGAAAAGCTTTTGATCTATTGCTACAATCTTCCTTGTTATGAATTTTACTAAAAGATAAGGTTGGACCTCTAAATTGTTTTAACTTCTATAACACTCTCATTACGTGTCATTGGAAAACAAACAAGGATTAAGGAAATTAATATATTAAATTAATCTTGTTTTCTTAGCTCATTCATTCGGGCCATAGAAGAAAAGAGAAGAATGTGAAGAATAAGAGACCAAAATAAAATGAGAGGTGCACGATACGATTCTCTCTTGGCGTAGGTTAACACGTACGCCATCCATGGCAGGAAAGAGAGCTCGCATCTCCTCTCAGAAAGCTCTAATGGCACAAGTAATGCTGGTGAAATCAAGAGGAAATCAAGCTAGGCCTAGTGTGGAATTGAGTAATTTGGAGAGTGATATAGTTACGGAAAGTGCGATTGGGGAAACACATAGGAAATACCAATTCCGGTGGAAGGAACGAAATCTCGAAGCTCAATTGGGACTGGAAAGTTGTCATGGGCAGACGAAGCTGAAGCGGATGCAGAATTGACAAAGTGAACCTCAATTTGGGACAATTTTGACATATCAAAGATCTCTAATGCTGGGTTCAAACTCGATTATGTTGCTCCGGGAATACATGGTGAGATTCTTGTTTGTGAAATTGAAACATATGACATTAGTACTGAAATATTGTATTGGAAAAATGTTGTTGTTTGTTATGTGCTTGGGCACATCCCTCTTTTTCTGTGTTGAATGGTTTTATACAAAGGATGTGGGCTAAACATGGAATAAATAAGATTTCCATGCTAAAAATAGTATCATACTAGTCAAATTTGATTCAGAAGTACGGAAGAATGAGGTTATAGAGGGGGGAGGTCTATCACTTTGGTGATAAACCGTTCATAGTGAAAGCCTGGGCAGCAGGTATAGAGTTTTTCAGAGAAGAGTTGTACTCAGTTCCTATATAGGTGGAATTGCCTGGGCTTGACTTCAAATACTGGAGCCCTAAAGGTCTTAGTAAGATAGGTAGCCTAATTGGTAAACTGTTAATGGTGGATCAACATACTGAGAAGAAATTGGGGTTGAACTTTGCAAGGTTACTTAGAGAGGTGTCTATTGACACACCACTATCTAATAATTTAATGTTCAGGACTGAGAAAGAAAGCCTGGTGGAGCAGCAGGTCCAATATGATTGGAAGCCCATATTGTGCAAATATTGTAGCAAATATGTACACAATGAGAAGGCTTGTAGGAAAAAACAAGCAGCAGCAAAGTCACCAGATAAACAGGTGGAAGAGAAAGCTGAAGGTAGCACCAAAGAAGAGGAAAGGGGGGAGAATAAGGTGGATGAAGCAGGCTCCAAACAAGGGCCAAGTGACAAGGCTAAAGAGTTGCCAAAAGAAAGGAAAAGGGTAGCTGGAACAAGACAAGGTAAGCAGGGTCATCAGGCACAGAAGAGTACAACATGCTGGTTACTCATATGAAAACCAACAAGAACACAGTGAGGCAAACACAACAGATACATGCTCACAATTCCTTTCAGGCCCTTAACAGGGCAGGACCAATGGAGAAGAGTCAAAATTGGGCAGAGAGAAATGAGGGAGGCACTCCAATTCCTCTCTCAGGAAATGGATAACTTGCTATGCTGGAATATAAGGGGACTTAATGGCCCTAATAAACAAAGGGAAGTAAATATTCTTTGCAATAATGAAAGAATAGGATTATTGGGATTAGTTGAAACCAAGATTAAGGCTAACAAAATTACAGAGAAAGCTAATAGAATATTTAGTGGGTGAAATTATGTCACTAACTTGGAGTATCATTACAATGGGAGGATTATGATAGTATGGAGACCAGATTACTTTCAAGTGATCTACCTGAGTGGCAATGCTCAGGCAATTACTTGCAAAGTGATACACACTTCACTTAGTGTGACATTTTTGTTGACCGTAGTGTATGCTTATAATACAAAAGAAGACATGAAGGAGCTGTGGGAATATTTAGAGACTATACACCAGGAAAATACCATGCCATGGCTTGTAATGGGGGATCTCAATTCAGTATTGAACATGGATGACATGATAGGTGAAAATCCATTTACCATGGCGAGGTAACTAATTTTCAGCAAGGTGTAGATTCATGTGAACTGATTGAGCTTCCACCAAAAGGAATCAGATACACATGAAGTGATAAACAAGGTAGTAACATGTTATACTCAAAGATTGATTGGTTGAATGTCATGCCTGACTTCATAGCTATACACCAACCTGAAGTGATCAGTGATCATTGTCAAGTAAAGATAGAACAAATTCAGGTGAGGAAGAAGCTAAACAGACCTTTTAAATATTGCAATGTATGGTCATGACATCCAGAATTCTTATCCGGAGTTGAAATAATTTGGCAAACTCTTATAGAGGGATGCACCATGTTACAAGTAGTGAAGAAACTGAAAATTTTAAAGCAAGCACTAAAGGAATTAAACAGGAAGCATTTCAGGGATGTACTAACAGTAGTTGCAGAGGCTAAGGATGAGTTAATAAAGGCTCAACTTGCATTGCAAAGGGATCTAATGGACTAGGAACTACAAGAGCAGGAAAGAGCAAAGTTCCAAGAGTTTAGAAGATCCTCATATCTGGCAGAAGTATTTTTTCAACAAAGAAGCAAAGCAACATAGATACAATTGGGGGATGACAATATAAGATATTTCTATGCTTTTATTAAAGATAAAAATCTTCAACAAGCAATAGTACAAATAAAAGATAATGAGGGTATAGTGCAGACAGATCCTGAGGCCTTAGCTAGTATCTTTGTGGATTTCTGCAAAGAGTTATTGGGAAGGAAGGAAATTTACAGAATCGAAGCTTTTAATAGCTTCCTAAAGAATGGACATATCTTTACAGTGGCTCAATAACTAAAACTAGTAAGGGACTACACAAAGAAAGATGTAAAAAAGGTCATGTTTAGAATTGATGTTAACAAAAGTCCAGGTCCAGATAGCTATGGGAGTGATTTTTTCAGGAAAGTATGGCATATTGTGGAGGAGAAGGTGACTAATATTTTGTTGCAATTTCTCAGGAATGGTAAGCTACTACGGTAGATTAATTCCACCATAATTATTTTGATCCCTGAAGTACTAGCACCTCAGTCTGCAAGTCAGTTCAGACCAATTTCTTGTTGTAATATTTTGTATAAATGTATCTTAAAGGTGTTGTGTACTAGGATAAATAAAGCACATAAATATTTGATCACAGACACTCAGGCTGCTTTTGTGGAGGGAAGATCACTGGTTCATAATTTTCTGATATGTCATGACCTACTCAGACACTATAATAGAAAGACATCACCTAGGTGTCTCATGAAGATTGACCTGAAGAAAGCATATGATATGGTTAGTTGGGACTTTGTTGAGGAAGCATTAATTAGTTATGGTTTTCCAATTTATTTGTTGCTTTGATTATGACTTGTATTACCACTACTAAGTTCTCAGTCAATGTGAATGGGTAAAGCTATGGATATTTTGATGGGAGAAGAGGGCTTAGACAGGAAGATCCACTTTCACCATTATTGTTTGTCTTGGTGATGGAGTATCTATCCAGGACCTTGAAGAGAATGGGGAAATTGCCAGATTTCAAGTTCCACCCTTTGTGTAGAAATTTGAAGCTCGCTCATATGATCTTTGCAGATGATCTCATGATCTTCTGTAAGGGGGACAAGAAATCAATACATAGAATTATGGAAGCATTAGATCACTTTAGCAGAGTCATAGAATTGGTGGCACATCCTTATAAGTCAAGCATCTTTTTGGTTGGGATCACTAGTGAAGAACAGGAGGAGATACTTGCAATGACAGGATTTGTCCAAGGAACTTTGCCTATGAGGTATCTTGGATTACCCCTCGCTTATAAGAAATGGTGCAAGATGGAATGTAACTAATTACTAAAAAAATAACATATAAGATTACCAAGGCTTACTCAAAGCAACTATTATATGATAGAAGATTGAAGATTGTAAATGTTGTATTGTTCTCCATCTATAACTTCTGGGGAGGGGGCAGTGTTTATACTTCCCTAAAGTGTTCTTAAGGAGGTGGACAAGATAAGTAGGGATTACTTATGAGGCACCACTAAAGAACATAGGAAAGTCTCATTGGTTGCTTGGGATAAAGTTGCAAGCCAAAGAAGTTTGGTGGGTCGAATATATTAAAGGTTGTAGGATCTGGAATGTAGCTTTAGTTGGGAAGTTATTATGGCAACTGAATGAGAAGAAAGATCATTTATGGGTGAGATGGGTGCATGGAGTATACATAAAGCAAGATGGAACTATTTGGGATCATAATCCTCCAATTAATAGTAGTTGGTACTGGAGGAAATTGAATGCCCTCAAGAGTGGTATGGTGCATTGGTACCAGAATAATAGGTATCATATTACACCTAATGGGGAGTACTTAGTGACAAAGAGTTACAATGTTATGCTTACAGATCTAGACAGACTAAAATAGGTTGACTTAATCTGGACCAAAGCAATGCAACCTAAGCATAGGTTCATTATTTGGTTAACCAACCAAAACAAACTCCTCACAAAAGATAGACTCCAAAGACTCTAGATTCCAGT